GAAGCATGAAATCCGACGGTCGGTGGCTACAGGTACAAGGAACGAGCGGAAATTGTCCCTCCCACCAAGTCACAAGGGAGATAGAGGAACCGGCAAATCATGGAGGGAGGGATGTCGGGATGGGGAATCAGACATATGTCGCATGTGTCTGATCACCCGTTCCCCACTCCTACTCCCCAGCCCGAACTCCGCCGCCGCCGCCGCCGCCACCACCGCCGCCATCCATCTCCGCCGCCGCAACCTACCTATTCCAGCCGCCACCCATTCCAAGCTATGGAGAAGCCGGTGGAGGAGCCGATGTCCAGGCTCACCCACGACCTAATCGCGGAGATCCTCTCTCGCGTGCCCTACAAATCACTCTGCATCTGCAAGTGCGTCTGCCCGGCCTGGCGCGACCTCATCGCCGACCCCGCCCACCAGAAGAAGATGGCGCAGACCCTGGCCGGCTTCTTCTACCACATCAACGACGAATCCACGGCCGTGCCCCGCGGCTTCGCCGGCGTCAAGTACGCGGATATGTCTGCTTTCCCTTGGTCGAGCGTCCCCGAGATCCACCCGCGCCTGCCACTACCGCCCGACAGCACGGACTGCTTCGTCTTCCTCGAGGGTTCCTGCGATGGACTGTTTCTTGCCTGTATTTATATGCGCACCCCTGCTGGAGCAACTCGCTACATGGTCTCCAATCCAGCTACCAGTGAGTATATTGTGCTGCCTCACTCTGGCTATGCTGGCAACGCTTACCTGGGTTTCGACAGGGCTGCATCCACTGAGGGGTTTCATGTGTTCGAGTTTGTAGAGGACTGGTCACCCCCGGACCACCGGGGTAAAGAATCCATGGTTGTGACACGGGTGAGGATTTACTCTTCAAAAACTGGTGCATGGGTAGCAATGGAACCCAAATGGGACATCCAAGTTAGCTTGTGCTTTGGTCAACCTGGAGTTTTCCATAAGGGCTGTTTGCACCTGCTCACAGATGAGTCCGGATTGGCGATAGTTGATGCAGAAGGGCTAAGATGGAGAACCGTCCCGCTGCCAATACTTGTTGCTAGGAGTTTCTCAGGTTTCATCGGGAAGTCTGCCGGACAGCTACTTTATATCGCCTCCCTTGATAGTCAGGGATACGGCTCAGACAGATCTTTGACTATATCGATTTACGTTCTTAATGTTGAGATTTATAACTGGGATGTCTGTCATCAGGATGACAAACGCATGTACTGGAAATTGTACAAGTTTTCAAATGTAATTCCAAAGAAGAAGTTTCTCAAAGTCATTGGAGTACACCCACATGCCAATCTGATCTTCATAGCTCACTCAAAAAACGAAATGTTGGCATACGATTTGGATCGTCATGAAAGTCCAGTTGTATATCACCTTGACCATAACTACCATAGGTTTATGCAATTTTGCCCGTATGTGCCGCTGTTGTCCTACCTACCGTTGGACGGAGCAATACGGCTGGCAGCTCCCAATTGATGAATGATCTGCTGATTGAAAAATGGGCAGCCATGGGTGAGGCACTCTGTTGCATTTCAAGTGAAATCTTCACAAAGATTCAAATGGAGATGATGTATTGTCTGTAGAAAATGCCAACTTTAGTTTTCAGTTTGATCTGTATTCTTTTTCATGACTATTATTGCCTCTGGCTGGATGTTTCACTAGTGGCTGTGTTGGTGCGGGTTGTTGTATGCTCTATGCCTTTTGATATGCAACAAGTATAGCTGTATGAGACATTTCAGTGTGTACCTGTTTTGGCTAAGCCAGATTTGTTTGTGTTAGTATATGAACACATACATACAATCTGAGCCGTATAAATGGGTATGAGACATTTGGTATGAGCTGTTGTATGTTCTAGCTCATTGGAACAGTGAACTGATTGCATATGATTTGAACTGAAGGCACGACTGAATATCACATTGAGCCTAACTACCAGTAGTTTAGGCCTTTCAGGTTTCAGTTTGATCTGCACTCCTTTTCATATCTAGCACTGTCTCTTGCTGCATATTTTCCTCATGGACATGTTGGTACAAGACTACAGGTTGTAGTATGTTTTTTCGAGAAAACGCAAATGGCTTTTGCGTTTCATTGCATTGGAAAGAGAGGGTATTTACATCCTCCTAGGAGGCAGTTTCAGGTTTCATGTTGTATTATGTTGACTATGCCTTTTGATGTGCAACAAGTTGAGCTGTATGAGACACTTTAGTGTGTCCTATTTTGACATGTACCAGATATAGCTAATTCTCTATTGCTCCCTCCGATCCATAATAAGTGTTGTGATTTTAGTTTAAATTTGAACTAAAACCACAACACTGATTATGGATCGGAGGGAGTAGAATCTTATGTTCTGACATGAAAAGGCATAGTCTGATATGGTGCACACACAATCTGCATTTGTCTGTTCTATGATCTATCTAGGTGTTTGCATTGCAAAGATTTACTTGGTCTCTAGTTTTCTGTTTTTTGGTTTGATATTCATAGAAGTTTGCAGCATATAATGTGATCATGCTATCTCAAAAGGCTGGTTTATATTCTGTATCAGAAAATGATCACAATCTCCTAAAGGGACTTGAAAATTTCATGCTCTTTTTTCTTCTTCTAATGGCTCCAAATTGAAAATATGACCAGAGTATCTAGTTTCGTTTCGTTTCCCCTGTCC